CGTGTTGACTATAGAAATGTGCATGAGTGTGAGATGTAAGTCACACATTCATTAACAAATGTAAAATGCTCGAAAAAGTCACATTATTTAATTTTCAATAACAAATTGATCATCCTTAAGGCGATGTTTATTCTGCCTTTCTTATAGAAAATGAATGATCATATCATAGATACATGTACTAGATAAATATATATACGTATTTTTTTTATAAAAATTGTCCTAATTTAATGAAATTATGAACTTCTTTAAAATCAAAGTAACCTTTTTTTCGACATGATCTATAAAAAAGTAAACAAATGTCACGAATTTCGTAAGATGAATTATAGTTGACACAGTATTTAAAGTAGCATTTCCAATTCATGATTTCCAACGTATGTAGAAAACGATAATAATTACAGGTTTTGTCAGGTATTTATAAGTTTCATAGATTTATTTGTCTAGACATTTAATTAAACGCGGCACTTCTAATTTAATATTCTTGAAAACAAATATTGTTCCACTTTACAAATTGATGTTATACATGAATCGATAGTAATAAATATCCAATTGTTTTGTGGGTCACAGTAAAAATATCACCCCGAGGAAAATACTGTTACCCGAGGCGTTACTCTGTAACAGTGCACGTGGTTCACTTGTATTAACAATAAGAATGACTCCTAATTAAACTTACGAAAAAAGTGAGGGGTAATAAATAGGAATTGTCCATTAAAAGACTGAAGAAGACAAAATAAATATAAATTCATAGACCTTTAAAATAATGAAAACCAACACAAAGATCGGATCATTCGTTTATAATTGATGTAATTGTAAATCTTTTACATCCTCTTTTTGATTCAGTATACAGTTAAACATATTTTAGTTTTGCAGCGTTTTGAGCATCTTTCTGTTACTTAATATATATACTCATGTAGCTATGTTGCTTGATATAGTGAAAGTGTACTGTATTAGATGTATATTCTAAATGTACTTTATAATATAATCACACATTTGGAATGAGTTTGAACTTCTAAACATGGGCAGATTTAATGTTTTTAATATTTTTTACATATCAATGCTCATCATAATATTATTCTTTGTATTGCTCTCTAAGGGCTTTTAGCTTCATGAAATATGTGAGTAAATAAACTTTATCATTTTCATAATCAAAAGTTAATTGCATTGATATAAAAAGCCAAGGGCAAAATACATATGTCATTATTACATCAATAACGGCCCGCCATTTGTATTCTATCAGTGTTTATCTAATTAAGTCACATCATATAAACATCTCAAATTTTATATGACACAATTTAAGATATTTCTCAAACCTAGTTCTGCTTACATCAATGCTAGTATAGGTTGTTGTAATTTTTCCTGCTGTCCACGAACAATGATCTCAATCAAATAGAGATCTTAATATTTTAATGTTTTTTTCAATAAAATCTTCCTATTTTTTCCGTGCCTTTGGTGTGTTATTTTTTTTTTTTGTTTTTATTAAAAATATTAACTTGATCTTAAGATCGCCCTTTTTTTTTACGGGGGGTTGTGCAGGTAACTTTCCTTTGATATTACCAATTATTAAATTTAATTATTCCCCCCTTCGTACCCTTGTTTAGCGACCTACAAGTTTTTTACCAATTTATGGAGGTTTTGATTTATCTAATTTTATGATCATCATAATATGTATCTTGTCTCTAGACCCAAGCTATTAATGTAATTCTAACTTTTCAGAAAAGTGTATCTGAAAATACACAGTGCTATGAGAAATACAAATTCATTGACTAAGTATTTAAGATTTTTTTCTCTCTTTATTTTTCCACGTATATTCTTGATTGCTACTTGTAAATTTGTCCATTGCATTATTCTAAAATATAATCAAAAGATTTTTCATGTTGTCTACTGAACTGCCACTCTCAATGAAGTTTACGAATACCAAAGTTCACGACAATTTTCGCAATTCATAGTTTTAAATTCCGTCATGGATGAAATATGATGAAGCCATTTAGTTAGCCCATGGAAGTTTTGCAGATTTACTCATTTTCTAACTAGTATTGTAATAATTCACAGACGGGCCTGAGGGCTTCCTCCGCCAGTAGAAGTCACTTTACTTAAGTTAAATTGTTTTTGTAACACTTTGAAGTTTCCTGTAAAATAAGTATATAGTATTATTGTTACGAACGAATGCACACTTACTTCAATTTCTATAAAGACAAAAGTGTCATTGAAACGATTCCTGACCAATTGCGCTGTATTTTTATTGTTTGTAAGCCGGTGGTCTTGAGTTCGAATCCAACAACCATCGGGGGTATTTAAGCCTTTTTTACTAGACAACAGAAAGAAGATGATTTCCTCTTTTGATAGATATCAGTTTAGGGTAATATTGAAAACATATCTTATGTGAAAATAACGATTATGTTGTAAAAATTGGCTTCACGATTGACCTTACATTCACATGTGTAAGATAATAAAAAAAATCTTAAAATGTTGTCAAGCACCTGCCTTAAACCCAACCTCAAGCTGGTGACACTCTAACTGAATATATGTTTTATGGTGGAGTGGTTAAGGTCACTGACGTACTTCTAAAACAGTTAATATATGGTTTCCGTGCAATATGACGCATATCCATTGCTAATGTGCTCAATGTTATGTTTTTAGATACTTAGTTATTGATAAAACTGTTAACATGACTTTATAAACATTTTCAAATATATAATACAATTTAAACGAAGACTTCCTTAATTTAAAGTAGAATAAGGTATGAGAAAGAGACGAGTTTATATCAAATGGACTACCATAAATGATCAGTTTTAACATATTAAAGACCAAATGGAAAAGTCGATATAACATTAAATGATTTCTAGATTTTCTCAAAGGCAGGTGAGTAACAGTAACCATAGAAACCGATTGTAAGGTTAAGATAAAAGCCTGTTCTCTGATTGTTTGGACCTATAAAAAGCTGAAGAACTGAAATAACCGCATCAATATTTCATAGTCAGTATAACATTCTACTTAATATTTAAAGAAAATGTGCTTCGTTGTGTTCGTTTGATTTGAAATTCAAGGTAATAAGCTATGCTAAAAGACTTTTAGTGAATATACATGATTAAAGACTAATCATTAAAGACTAAATTAAAAAAAATATTTTAGCAATTGCTCCCTTTTCTTTTGTTTAAATCATATCCCAAAACTCGATTTGCAATTCAATGTATCAACATTTACCCTTTAAAATTGTGTGACAAGAATGTGAGGGGAGCTTATTTAATTTTGCAATTGGTGTTTGCAGGCACAAAATAATTCAGAATAAAAATGTGTTTACTTTAACACCTAGGTTTAAACCTTGAACTTTTAATGTTATTCTTCAGTTTGGTATTCTGTTTAAAACAGCACTCATTGGCCATATCGCTGAGAAATTTATCGCGTACGTGCATATAATCATTAACATGAAATGCGCAATGAATTTCAAATGTCCTTGGTCATAGTACATTAAATACATTTAGATATGTGTGAGCGGGTTGTCGTAAGATAATTTTACATTAATTTAAAAGTAAAAAAGGATACACGAAGGAAAAGCTCGAAATATTGGAAATCTGATATTTAGTTTTAAAAGCCTTATACATTATAATTTTAATCTCGGTTCGCATTAATTTGCTATTAAATATTTATATGAGTTTTATTGTCAAGAAACAGATGTTCCTTTGAATATCTTTTAACTGTTGACAAGTTTGCATCTCTGACAAACGACGTTGTATGAATTTAAATAACTAGCTGGGCATTTTTGTAATACGCATCTTATTTCTCCTAGTAAAACAAAACACGGACAAAAAAGCAAAACATGCCATTTTTATTTAAGTAATAAAAATAAATATTAAAAACTACTCTCGTTAGGTCACACAAACCAACGGTTAGTTGTATTGAAATTTGTCTAAAAAAAAAGGAGAATATACATTCTACACGGATGAAAATTTAATAAGATGACCATTATAGACTTTCATTTGACTGTAGGACAACATGGAATAAGTGAATATACATGAACGTCGAACGACCATATGTTGCAAATTCTATTTATTTCATTCCTGTTTATAGAGTGTACAAGTATACTGTAGATATGTTTTAAAGAAGATATTAGCAACGATGATTCCGGTACATAGAGCGTTTATATATAAAAGAGAAAAATGTCTTTATACAAATAGCAGTCATAATAATTATGAAAGTACATGAAGAGAATGCATTAAGAGAGAATATGGTTACATTGTATCTGCATTCGAAAAAAAAATGTCTGTTTACAAACATCAGCCGCGATAATTCCAAAACATAGAGGGTTCATGTTGCTTTGAAATAAAAGTAAATACATATTACAGCCGCGATTATTCATGTATATTGAACATTTATGTTAAATAAGATTAAATAATTCATCCATATATTTGAACAATGATTAGTTGATTGTCATATATAAAATTCTTCCATAACGATAATAAAACTTCACTATTAGTCCTGAAGTCTACATGTCGATGTAAAAACCGATATTTCCGATACATAAACCCAAACAATCTGTCTATTTACATACCACAAACCACAATAACTCTGCTACAATGAGCATTTTGTTATCTTAGTCTACATAAGCAACTACATAAGCAGAAAGCACGATATATCCGGTAAATTTGCCTTATTATAATAAGTTATGGATTAGCCTATCTTTATAGATTACAGCAGTTAACTTGCTAATCTTCCGATTGAAATATTTCTGTATATATGTATACAGGGCTTTACTAACAACTTCGTTTATGTGAATAACAGCAATGCTTCAATTAACGAAAATCAAATTAATTTAAGGACGAAATAACTTTTTAACTGAGCACAAGTAATGCAATATATCAGTGCAATATCAATGGTTCATATGTTGGTATTTGATAAGTAAGATGATTGTAAAAGGTATAAATGCATATCTGGATTACAAGCTTGGCAATTTTGATTTAATAATATTATAAAAATTAAATGAACTGTATTATCAAGTATATTTCAAGGCGCTCTCAAATTTGGTAACTATTTCTTTCAATACAAATACAGTTGAGCAATAATTAGCATTCCTAGTATTTAACGTCTGCAAGGGCCTCCATTTTCGGTTGTAAATATTCCAAGCACGTGATTGGTTTATACTTAGTTGATCCATACATAGGACTCACAACGAAATCATGATCTGGTAATATAAAGAACACAGCCGATTGCCGAGGTTTTGTTTTCATGTGTTCGTCTTCCGGAATCAGCACCCTATGTACCACAGCCGGGACTTTGTCTTCAGTCCAACGCTGTAGTAAATCAGCCGCAATTAAGAGAAGGGTCCCCGGAATTGGTATTGCCTGTACAAAGCCTTGATCTTTGACATTGATCTCCAGTCCGCCGACGTCATCTTGAAACACAAATGATATTGTTCCGTAATCTGAATGCTCACCAAAACGAATTCGGCTAGGTTCTAAATTTGTTGTCGTGACTGGAGGGTAGTATAGCGTTCTAAACGTTGTAGGGTTCTCACGTGTACCAATTTTCCTGTGCCCTTCTCTTAGAAATGTTTGGTTTTGACCAAGTGCTATGGAAAGTGCATCAAGCATACGGTATCCGAGTATCTCACAGTCATTAAACATTTCTCTACACGCAGACGGAAAGTCGTTGTTTTTCCAATCATTCGGATCGTCTGCCGGCTGGTAATTGAAACACTCTTTGAGGTCTCCAGGTCTCTCAAGGTTTATTTTTTCCTGCCCTATTGGTGAATAACCAAAATCACGTCGCGTTCCGCGAAGATGTTGTGTCTTCACATCAAGTGGCTGTTTGTAGAATTTTTCAAATCTTTTAACGTATTTATCTTCATATTCAATGCCATGGTTTGTGCAATAACACGCTCCAAACTTACATAAACTATTTTTAAGTTGGTCTGCTACAGTTTCAAGGGCCTGTCTGTCTATCTCACTGCACTTCTTTTGTAGGCCTATTTTGCTCAAATCTATGATAGGAAAAGGTGTACTCATTTTCGACCTATTGTATTTATCTGGAACAAAAACAAAATTCCATTAATATTGGAAGACCATAGAATAACCATCAATTAAAATGCTTCTCCCTGAATTCATTTTCTATCACAATGACATGCATAACTTGTTGAAAGTTAGGTTCCAATGTTGCATTTTCTGTTTAAATTTGTCTTATATAAAGCGAAATTTGAATAAAATCAGAGACTTTGTGGCACTTTTTTGTATTTACAACATATATAATTTGTTTCAATACTTATAACATACAATAAGATTACAGCATTTGAAGGCAGACATATTTGAATGTTTGCACGTTTTATTATTAAAGACAAAATATCAGATCAAGTATTGTATTGTATCTAAAATAAAAATATGATGTCGTACTATCGGTGTGCAAACCAATCAGTAAACGAAGAAACAGATGAAATAATTGAAATATAACTCCAGAAAACGTACACGTTACACTCATATCAATGAGAAGTTAATTATTATTGAAGTTATAATATGCAATTACGATTAACGTCTAAATAGAAAGTCAAATATAAATTTCTGAATAAACTTACCTTCTTGGTATCAACTTATCCAGTCAAATGCAGCTCTTGTTATGTGATAACACGACATGTGCAGTTTTCGTTACATGAGACTATATGTATTTAATGTTTGTTTGTATGTATTAAATGAAATGCGATCCGTACTGTTTTTTTCTGTGTTTACAAGTTTGCGTTTATATTGAGTGAAAATAATGTTGGTTATGTATGGTGACATTGTCCTATTCACTGAATTACCTTTAGCCTTGAAACGTATTTCACACATGTGCACGTACAAATATCTTAAGATAAGGACACACAAGATATAACCATCTGAGGTAAAATGTTTACTATACTTCTTTTATAATAAGTAAGTTGTTATTGTTGGATTTCAACAAATACGTATATTTCATAGAGAAAATTGACGTGATTTATTAAAGCACGTATGTCGTTTTGTCACATTTTTCTCCATATACAGAAAATGTTGCTGCTTCCTTCATTGGGTTTAGCTGTAAGAAAAAACAAACCAGATTAGTTTATATTCTTTGCATGCACATAAATAGGACAGATATTTAAAATTCAATTTAATTCGCTGACATGAAAACAATATGTATCATATGTACTTAGCGTGAAATTAATATTATTTCTATTCAAAATTCAACTGTAATCTGCATTTGAAACACTGTAGATTACAAAACCGACTGGTTGCTATGGAAAATTTGTTTTTTTGGTAAAGACGTCATTGGTTATTATGGAAAGTCATTTGCTGCTTTAAATATTATTTGTCGTTGGAAAAGTCAGTGGTTGCTTTAAAGGTTATTGTGCAAAATTTCTTAGCTCTAGACATCGCGTTTTGTTTGGAAGAAAAGTACCTTCAAAGACTATATCGACCTCCTCATTTGGCCTACCTATGTATTTGACTAAATATGTTATGTTAACTTAAAATCAATCAGGTGAATCAGGAGGATTTATTATATACTTACAAATGAAATATTGAGAAATATTGATGAAATAAAATGCATATTTACATTTTCCGTATTTTCACTGTAAAAATTTATTTTTCACTGCAGTGAAACATATTTTCCGTATTTTCACTGGTGTCTTGCCGGACTACTTTCTTTTAAATTCTGCCAGTACACAAAATTTAAGGAAAGTCTTTCAAATTTTAATGTCAAAAAAGAGAAAAATGTATATAATAAACAGAAAATTCAAGTTTTTTCTATAAATACACGATTTATTTTCATCTTGTGGCATGAAAATTACCATATTTCACTCGTGGCTACCGCCACTCATGAAATATTTATTTTCATACCACTCGATGAAAATAAATCATGTATTTATAGACAAAACTTGAATATCCTCTATATATTGTTGACAGAAATAGTTCAGAACAACAGACGACATACAAACTGCCACCCAAAAATCTCACATTGAAGTACGGTTTGTTCAGGCAAACTTAAATCAGGCAACGATTCTTAATAGTGGTTCTGTCATACATTGTATTGTATCTTAGACAATCCTTTAAATCACTTTTTGAATTGTTTTAATTGTATGTATGAGTAAATATTTGATCTTCACCACACGGCACAAACATCACTGATACGGTAGAAAAAATATTAATTATATAATATTTAGCCTGGAAATCAAATAAAATCGTACAAAGGCATGCTACTTTTTCTCTAAAAAATCAATTAATTTCAAATCAATACAAAACTATTTTTCAAATATATTTTCTTAACAGCTTAAGCAAGTCTTCTATCATTGTGCATTGCTTTCCCTTTAAATATTCATATGTTTTCATAGGATGTGTAATACAATACTATACTTTTCATTATGCGTTTCATTGAATTTTAATGAATGTTAAAATAGTTAAAATCCTAGAAACATATTTACAGTGTTATGTGATTGATGTAATTCTCTTCCGATCTATTTATGGTTGGGTTTTACGTCGCATCTTATGGCGACTTTTCATTGGTAGAGGAAGACCTCAGGGGCATCTATGTGCATTTTTCAGGCACAAGCTTGGACATGGATAGAACCACCGACTAACATCACTATTTTATATTCATAACGTACATGTGACACAAGAAATCAGTCCGTCAATTTAAGTTGAAAGGAAATGCAACAGTTTAACTTTCCGAGTAAATGGACTATACGAGTAAGATGGAGAGCTATCCTACTCACCCCGATGTCGGCGTCCAGATTTCAGATAAAAATAGTAAATGAAAAAATATAAAAAAAAAAACAACAAAAAACAGAATCCCGCATTTAAAAAAGAAAAGAGTGAAATTTAGAATTTAGAAAATCAGTAGATGTGTTTTTGTGCAGTAAAATATTTTCACTATAACTGTTTTTATTTCATAAAGTTCAAATATATATTCCTTATCACGTGACAAGTTTCATAACAGTTACTCTAATAACATTAGACTTTTTAGAATTTTTCTCTTAAAATGTTATTAACACTCTTACTTCTTTATTTCAAAAGGATTCCACTACGATTTTAAAATATATGTTTTCTATCATCAAACAGATCCACGTGACAAAGTCCATAACTCTAGAAGCCATATTATCAGTAATGTCTCCCCTTGAAATTTTTCTTTAAAATGTTACTTTTTACTCAAAATTCTTTACTTCATAATGGATTTACTTCAATCACTAAGATTAAGTTTGATATCATTTCCCATATTAAAATAATGTGACAATGTTCATAACTCTAGCGTCATTATTTCCCGATTTAACATCCCTTAGGGTTAGAAGTTTCTTTATTTCTTCAGGGATTAAATTCAAACTTCCAAAATATGTTTGTTAGCAACACTTATATAATATATTATTAAATCTATTAGTCTAGTTTTTTATATTTCTAGAATTATCTCAATTTTGAACTTGGCATTTATTCGGAATTTGATATTATATATATATAATTATATAATTAAATTAAACAATTATTTTTGTTATTATAAATGGTATCTACTTCAGACTTAAGATAGACTTAAGATACATGTTCTTTGTCATAATTCACATCATTTATGACAAGATTCGTAGCTCTAGCATCCTTATTTCAAGCGGTATTTCCTCTTTGATCTTATAATTTTGAATTTGTACTTTAAGTTGTTATATTCATGTTCGTTTTGCTTTTAAACTGAAAGAAATGACTTTAGGTTATCTTTATTGTCTATTTCATTAGAATATAGAAACCTCTGACATGGTCACATTGTTATTATGTGGTACAATGTTATTATGTGGTACAATGTTATTATGTGGTACAATGTTATTATGTGGTACAAAAAAGTTGAACATTTGAGTGTTTTCTTGATATGGATACAGAACTATATTTATATCTTGTTATTATTGATTTTGTAATAGTTTTGTCTTAATTTACTACGTCTAGTGTGTAAAAAGTCGAGCGTGCTGTCTCCTCTGTCTGCTCTTGTATTCATATTTGATTCTAGATAGTTACATAATATAATCACAATACAAAAACTAAAACATGCGTTGATATGATTAATGTACTCGGGTTATATAAACTGCCAATTTTCCCTTAACATGTGAAGACTAGATCATTTATCAATGTTCGTATCTTTATTTTAATGCGTGCGTGCAAATAACCATGAACATGAAATGCACAGCGCAGTTAATTTCAACTGCCCTTGGTAAAAGTACATCAAAAACATTCAAATATGTGTGAGCGAGTTGTCGTTAGATTATTTTACATTAAAGTGAAAAAGAACATACGATAGACATAAACAAAATATTGGAAATATAATACGTAGTTTTAAAAGCCTTATATATGAAAATTTTAATCCAGATTCGCATTTATTTGGTTTTGAATATTTATATGAGCCGTGTCACGACAAAACCAACATAATGGGTTTGCGACCAGCATGGATCCAGACCAGCCTGCGCTTCCGCGCAGTCTGATCAAGATCCATGCTGTTCGCTTACAGACCCCATAACAAGTAAAGAAATTGATAGCGAACAGCATGGATCCTGATCAGACTGCGCGGATGCACAGGCTGGTCTGGATCCATGCTGGTCGCAAACCCATTATGTTGGTTTTGTCGTGACACGACTCGTACGTGTTTTATTGTCATTCTGAATATCTTTTAACTGTTGACAAATTTGCATCGCGATATCTCTGAAAAAATGACGTTATATGAATTTACATGACTATCTGGGCATGTTTGTAATACTTTTTTCTTATTCCTCCTTGTAGAGCAAAACACGGACAAAAAGCAAAAAACTTGCCATTTTGATTATAGTATTAAAAACAATCATTAAAAACTACTCTCGTTAGGTCACACAAACCAACGGTAAGTTGTACTGAGATTTGTCCAAAATTGTCATTGTATCAAAAAAAATAAAATAAAAAAAAATAAAAATAAATTTATACCTACACGGATGAAAATTTTATAAGATGACCATTATGGACTTTCATATGACTGTTGGACATCATGGAATAAGTGAATATACATGAACGACCATATGTTGCAAATATCATTTATTTCATTCCTGTTTATAGAGTGTATAAGTATAAATAAGTATTAAAGAAGATAATAGCAACAATAATCCCGACATATAGAGTGTATACATTAAACGAACAAAAAAGTCTATATACAAATAGCCGCCACAATAATAATGGAAGAGCATAAAGAAATCGAATTAAGAGAGAAATATCTTTATATCTCTATAATCTAGAAAAATATATGTTTACTTACATAAACCGTAATAATTTCAAAACATAGAGCGTTCATGTAGTAAATTTGTATAACAACCCCGATTTTTCATGTAACTATATAGAAAATTATGTTACTTAATATTTAGTAATTCATGTATGTATTTAAACAATGTTTAGTTGATTGTTATACACAAAATTCTTCCATAATGATGATTAAACTTCACTATTAGTCCTGAAGTCTTAATGTCGATTTAACAACCGATATCTCCGATACATAAACCCAAACAATCTGTCTATTTACAAACCAAAACCGAAATAACTCTGCTACAATGTGCATTTTGTCATCTTAGTCAACATAAGCAAAAAGCACGATATATTCGGTAAATTTGCCTCATTATCATAACATGGACTATCATGGATTAGTCTATCTTTATAGATAATAGCAGTTATCATGCATGCTTATCTTCCGATTGAAATGATATTTCTGTACTAACAACTTCGTTTATGTGAATAACAGCAAAAATCAAAATAATTTTACGTCGAAATCATTTTTAAATGAGCATAAGTAATGCAATATATCTGTGCAATGGTTCATACGTTGGTATTTTATAAGTAAAATGATTGAAAAAGGTATTAATGCATCTTGATGTATCTGGATTACAAGCGTGGCCATTTTGATTTAATAATATTATACAAAAAAACAACTCTATTATCTAATAGTTTACAAGGCGGTCTTAAATTTGGTAACTATTTCTTTCAATTTAAATACAGTTGAGCAATAAGCATTCCTAGTATTTAACGCCTGCGAGGGCCTCCATTTTCGGTTGTAAATATTCCAAGCACGTGATTGGTTTATACTTCGTTGATCCATACATAGGCCTCACCAAGAAATCATGATCTGGTACTATAAAGAAGACAGACGATTGCCGAGGCTTCCTTTTCTTTTGTTCTTCTTCTGGAATCAGCACCCTATGTACCACAGCAGGGACACTGTCTTCAGTCCAACGCTGTAGTAAATCAGCCGTAATTAAGAGAAAGGTCCGTGGAACTGGTATTGCCTGTACAAAGCCTTTATCTTTGACATTGATCTCCAGTCCGCCGGCGTCATCTTGAAACAGAAATGATATTGTTCCGTAATCTGAATGCTCACCAAAACGAAATTGATTAAGTCCTAAATCTATTGTCGTGATTGGAGGATAGTATATCGTTCTTAACGTTGTAGGGTTTTCAAGTGTACCAATCTTTCTGTGCCCTTCTCTTAGAAATGTTTGGTTTTGACCAAGCGCTATGGAAAGTGCATCAAGCACACGGTATCCTAGTATCACACAGTCATTAAACATTTCTCTACACGCAGACGGAAAGTCGTTGTTCTTCCAATCATTCGGATCGTCTGCCGGCTGGTAATTGAAACACTCTTTTAGGTCTCCAGGTCTCTCAAGGTTAACTTTTTCCTGCCCTATTGGTGAATAACCAAAATCACGCCGCGTTCCGCGAAGATGTTGTGTCTTAACTTCAAGTGGTTGTTTGTAGAATTTTTCAAAGCTTTTCACGTATTTTTCTTCATACTCAATGCCATGGTTTGTGCAATAACACGCTCCAAATTTACATAAACTATTTTTAAGTTGGTCTGCTACAGTTTCAAGGTCATGTCTGTCTATTTCAATGAGCTTCCTCTGTAGACCAATTTTGCTCAGATCTATGATTGGAACAGGTGTACTCATGTTTGACCTGTTGTATCTATCTGAAAAAAATCAATGTTCTATAAATATAAGAAGACCATAGAAATACCATCAATGTATATACTAACTGAAACAATGATGTTCAAATTAAGTTCAAATGTTGCAAGCATTGTTAAAAGTTGTCTTATATTAAACAAAATTTGAATTTTATCATAGACTTTGTGGCACTGTTTTGAATTTACAACAAACTTTTTTGTTTCAATACCTATATATTACAGTACTTGAAGGAAGATATCTGTGTATGCTTGCACATTTTATTATTAAAGAAAAACATGAAAATCATATCAATTAATGTAATGTATCTTACATAGGCGAATAATGTTATAGTATTATTGGTATATGCCAACCAATCAGTGAACGAAGAAACACATGAACTAATTGAATTATAATTCCACAAAATGTGCACGTAAAACTCATATCAGTTACAAGTATATAATTTTTAAAGTTATAATATGAAATTACCATATTCGTTTAACGTCTAAATAGAAAGTCAAATATAAATTTCTGTAAATTATGAAGAAACATACTTTCTTGCTATCAAACTGATCCAGTGAAATGCAGCTCTTGTTATGAGACACCACAACTTGTGCAATTTAATTTGCATTTTCCTTACATAAAACTTCATGCGTTTAATTTTTGGCTGTATGTATTAAATTGTCACGGTTCAGAACTGTTCACTAATTACGGGGATTAAATGTGTAAGCTGTCGGATAGCTCAGAATGCGATTCGTACAGTTTTTGTTTGTTTACAATTTTGTGTGTATATTGAATGAAGACTGAAAATAATGTTGGTTTTGTATGGTGTCCTATTCGTGGAATTACAGTAATCATGGAAACGGATGATCATTTGTAGTAAAATGTTTATTATACTTCTTTTATAATAAGTCCTTTTAATTGTTCGGGAAAATTTCCGTCATTAATTAAAATATATGACATTAATGTGTCTAACTTGATAACATTTTTCTCCATTTATATGAAGAGTTGATGATTCCTGCATTTGATTACTTGTTAAAAAAAGAATACCTGTAGTTTTATATATTATTTGCATGCAAATACATCAGACAGATGTTTGAAATTCAAACTTCCTCGATGATATAAAAATACAGTATAAAATAACAGCTAACCAAAGTTAAAGAGTGTAACCGAACTACTTACATCATGATATCATAAAGATAGCATACGCAGCAATTCCAAAAGTGCTTGATAAGTGAAATATTTATCCCCATGTGGGATAGCACTAGTTACTGTGAATCTGTTCGAAAGCAAGAAAAAATGTTTTAGTGCTTAAGATTTTATATATGAAGACAAAAGGCATATAATTGGAAACACTGAAATAATGTGCTGTCGACGGCGATATGGAATCAATATTTTAATAAGTTTTACAATGAAAAAGTTTTGATAACCATATGGTATACGTGCTCTACGGGCTGCTGATTACAATAAAAATATCAAAAATGCTTGCTATTTAACAGTAATACTAAACGAACTCACACAACCATTTAAAAATTAAGTTTGCATATTTTGTAGAGCGACGTCTCAGACTTACAAGGACATCTAAGGTCGATACAGAGTCATCTATGAACATGCTAAAATGAAGTTATAATATATAAAATACATTGCGAATAAAAAAGGAAAACTTTTTTCGAAACATTATAACTGATAACAACATTGTCATGAAAGATAACCCATTAGACATTGAAGAAGCCATCAAGTATCACTGTCAAAGGATATTTCGTGCAACAAAAACTGATAGATAAGATAAAGATCTTAAAAGTGAAGATAATGATGGTAATTTCATTATTCGTGTACCTTTTTTGAAACAATAAAACCTTTGAAAATTCTTTAGAGGAGAACGAAATTCAGTCTGCATTTCATAGATTCTTTAAAGGTAAACAAATATGGAGATATGTTATAAGTCTATAAAAATGCCGTAAAAGGATTATAAGAATGTGTACAAAGTTTATAAAAAGTTTCAATCAAAGAACTAGAACGGACACAACATTAACTTTACTTTAATAGGTGGCGTTTAATGGACTTAAAATTGACAAAAGACTATTTTTTTAAAAAATTATGCACACGTCCAATAAATCTATCATCGAGACACATATTTGAGCTGAGATTCCAAACTAATTTACAATTCAGAAAAGCTTTATAACATTTCTGATTATATTAAGAATTACCAATACAAACAATTGCATATTAAATTTTGAAATAAACGCATGTTCTCAACAGCACATTTATAAACTACTAAATTTTTGCTAAGCACCACAAGTTAATTTCTATATTATTACAAGTATAAAACATATTTCTTTCAAATATGTGAAAATTCTGATTCAGCAATGTTTCTTGATAGTCATCTGACATATATCCGTGTTGACTAATCCATTACAATCCGTCTAGGTATCGTAGAAAGCATGCGCCCCAATATATTGATATTTTGATAGGGTGAATAATCACATTTCTTTTGTTATACGGCAACATAACCGGCTAATTGTCATTTAGTTGCTTACATTTCTTACATCTGTCACTTTGATATGGCGAATGCTAACATTAGGTGGTATTTGAGTGAAGCAGAGTTATGGAGGGCTGTAAGGATGGTGAAGCAGAGGTCCACCCTCCGCCAGGTTGGTGCGACGCTTGGTACACACTACACTGTCATCACCAGAGCCTAGGAGATATCGGCTACATGATACTTCCTCCAGGAGGCATGCTTGAGGTCGACAAAGGTTCACAACACCAGCTCAGGATCGGGTTTTGGTCGTTCCGGCATGCCGTGCAAGGTTTTCGACAGCAACTTCTCTTCGTAATGACCTTGCTAATGCTTCGGGGTCCGTGTTTCCAAGCAGACGGTACGTAGAAGGCTGCACGAAGGTAATTTGCGGTCGGGATGACCTTGCATACGTATCATTTTGACGCGTCGACATAACCAGGCCCGTTCCGAATGGACCATAAAGCATACACGGTGGATCATGCAACACTTGAGACACGTTCTGTTCACTGATGAGTCCATGTTCTGCCTAGACTTCACAGATAGACGTGCTTGAGTCTGGACAAGACGAAGTGAACGGTTTCAGGCTACAAATATTGCTGAGGAAGACCGCTACGGTGGTGGATCAGTTATGGTGTGGGGAGGCATACATATAACATAGGGTATAAATATACATGGTATACATGAAGCGATACATAGACGACATCTAGGAGAACCAAGTTAGGTTGTATGCTGGAGCAGTCGGCAGTCAGTTACCTCTCTTTGACAATAATGCTCGCACCCGATAGTGTCAGGGTGGTCCAGGACCACCTAGAGAGGGAGTCTAATGAGCGCATGGACTCGCTAACTCGATCACCTGACTTAAATCAAATCACATGTGGAATGAGATGCAGGTAAGAATTTCAGCTCGTCAGCAGCAACCTAGAACCATTCAGGAGCTTGAAGCCAGGTTGGTGCTAGAATTGGCAGCCATACCCGTTAGAACGATCCGAACCCTAATAGAGAGTATTATAAGGTGCTGCCAAGCTGTCATTGATAATCACGAGTCACACACACGGTATTTAGTCACAGAAATCATTATACATGTATGTTAAGATATTAGATATTCACCTATAATTGATAGCTAATTTTAAACTCCTTATTATTTCATTTCCCCCTGCCTTATTATGACATTCAATAACCCGACATAAAAAGACAAAAAAAATCCAAAAACAAACAAAATGCTTAAACATTTAAACGCATGCTTAATACTTATGCATACTCTAGAAAGAAAGGAAAACATAAAACTTTATCGAGTTGCTTCTTTTAGATTGCTTCTATTAATAATCAACAAGTACAGGTAACAAATACCTAAATACATCCATGTATTTAAAAAAATCACTCATTCTAGATCCCTGTATGAGAAATGTCTGTATTACCGCTCGTTCTAGACTATAGTATTAGTATTAATCTATTTAAAGCGGTGACAAATAAACAAATGTCACGAATTTCGTAAGATGTCGTAAGATGTCTTACAGTTGACTCACTATTTAAAGTAGCATTTCAAATTTATGATTTCCAACATATGAAGAAAACGATAGTAATTAGGTTTTGTCAGGTTATAACAGTAAGGATATCATCATTTCATAGATTTATTTGTCTAGACATTTCAGTAACATGGCACTTCTTATTTAATATTCTTGAAAAGAAATATTGGTCCACTTTACAAATCCCGAGTAAAATACTGTTACCCGATGCGTTACCCTGTAACAGTACAAATTTCTTTGTCACGTGGTTCATTTGTATTAACAGTAAGAATAACTCCCTTTTTAAACTTACGAAAAAAGTGAGGGGTTGTCCGTCAAAATACGTAAGAAGACAAGATAAATATATTTTCATAGACCTGTAAAATAATGAAAACCAACAATAAGATAAGATCGTTTGTTTATAATTGATGTCATTGTAAAGCTTTTAACATCTTCTTTTTGATACAGTGTACAACATATTTAAGTTAAGCAGCGATTTGAGTATTTGTCTGTTAATAATACTTATACGCATGTAGTTAATAATACATATACGCATGTAGCTATTTTGGTTGATATAGTAAAAACATACTGTATTATATATATTGTTAATGTCATTTATAATACAATCATTTGAAATGTGTGTGAACTTCTAAACTTCTGAACACTCTTGTTATATACATACATGGGCATATTTAATGCTTTCGATGTCTTGTTACATATCACTGTTTGTCATAATATTATACTTTAATTGTATTGTTCTCTAGGGGCTTTTAGCTTAATGAAATGTGAGTAAATAAACTTTATCATTTTTATAATCGAAAGTTAATTGCATTGGTAAACAAAGCCAAGGGCAAAATACATATGTCATTATTACAACGAAGCACCATTTGTATTCCATCAGATTTTATTTAAATTAGTCACAGCATAAAAGATCTCAATTTTTATATGACACAATTGAAGATATTTCTTCACCATTTTTTTATATTAAGATATTCAGTTCAGCTTACGTAGATGCTACGGCTGGTTGCATTTACCCCCTGCTGTTTATAAACATGAGCGATCAAACCGAATCTGCAATATTTCAATTGCCCCTTGTTCGGCGACCTTGAAGTTTACCATTTTGACTTTGTTACTAATTTTAAGATCATTAACAATAAGTGTTTTCACTTCCGTGTATCGTGTTCTCAGACCCTCGATATTAATGTTTAATTCAAGTACACTTTCTCTAATTATTCAGTAAAGTGTATCTGAAAATAAACAGTGTTCTATAAACATCGACAGCATTTTTTAGAATTATTTTCTCTCTTTTTTTTGAATGAACCTTTTTACGTGTATTCTTGATTGTCACTTGAACGTATATAAAGTTTGTTCATTGCATTAAAATATCCGAAATTCTTACAAGATTTTTTATGCTGCCTACTCAACTGCAAGTCAATGAAGTTTAAGAGTACCATTGTTTACGACAATTTCCAGAATTCATAATTTCAAATTCCGCCATGGGAAGCTATTCGGTTAGCGCAGATTTACTCATTTTCCAGCTAGTATTGAAATAATTCACAACCAGGCACCTGAGGTCTTCCTCCACTAGTAAAACTAAGAAGTCTTTGTTACACTTTATTAAGTTCTTTGTAAAATGTAGTGTTATTCTTACGTACGAATGCACACTTACTTCAATTTCTATAAGACAAATG